TTTCTAAAAATCCCATGACAACTCCATAGTCTCTATCTAAGATGATGCCTTACAAAGATTCATCTATAATCCCATGGCATCTCTTTTAAACTTTAAGAACTAAGAAAGTGTCTCACAAAGGTTCAAATATTATCCCCATGACACCTTATTTTAAACTTAAAGCTACACTACTCTAGTACTATTTAAATTTTACAATGAATCCTAACTATTTTATTCTTAGATGCGGAAAAGAACACTTATTTAAGTACCATTTACCTCTTAAAGAGATTGGCATGTGATTACAATGATCATATTGCTTTGTATCTCCACTTGAAGCCCGTTTTGCTAGCTCATCCGCCGTGGCATTTACTTCCCGAATTATATGGATGATTTTTGAATGTGAAGCGTTGAGTAAATTGGTTGAGATCGCCATGGATAGATTGTCTTTTCTTGAAAAAAAAATTGGCTATCCCTTGGTTATCAGTTTGAACAGTCACTTTTTGAATTTCTCTTTCCACACAAAATCTCAATCCATGACGAATTCCTTGTAGTTCAACATCCAAGCTGTGAGCTATTCCTAGGAAAAAATGGCGATCCTACCCAAAGCTTTCACCTCGGCGTCATATCCAAGTCATTTTTGCGAAGCCTATATTACCCTAAACTATCGATTTTTCGTCAATTTCATCCAATTGGCCAACTTTCCGTCCAACATAACGGTTTTCTGGGCTTGCCGTCAACTCCTCAATATTTAATTAAAAAAACTTTTTCGTGGACAATTTCTTTCAAATTTAGTCCTAAATTAAACCTTATTATCACTAACTATGTTGGGTCCAATTTGGAGGGAAATTTCCCACCAAAAATTTTGTGGGCCCCACCCGGCCCAAATTTTTTTTTCCGTTTAACTGGTTATAAAACCTAGTTCATCTTCTCCTCTTTCCTTCGAAATTTGTCACCGTGCTCTTCCTCCCTCCTGAAACCGAACAAAACAACAATCATCCGTGGTGCAATTGTGTAATTGCGGAAGCCCTGCAGCTCTGCGCACTTGCTGGAGAGGAAACAACTTGGGCAGAAGGTTTTTGGCTTGTCCTCATTGGCCGGATCCTGGTGTATGCAACTATTTTTCTTGGCTAGACTCCTAGATGGAGGTAAGAGCACATATCATCATTCAAGGTCTGCTTAGGAGGATAAATGCTAATACGGACGTGGTGGACATCTTGGAGACCGAGAATCAGAGATTGCAAAGGCATCAAGTGCGAATTTGGGCCTTTGTTTTTGCTGTTGTGATTGTGGTGGTGTGTTTGAGGAGATAATCGGTATCTTAAGCATTATTAGTAATATTAGCATGCAGGTTGGGTATTTTTATATCTTGTTACTAGGTAAAAACAAGATCATTAATCAGTTAGGGCTTAATCAGTTAGGTTGTTGGTTAGTTATGTGGTGTGATTTAGGGCTTAATTAGTTATGTAGAGATGAAGCACTTGTACTCTGTTCTGATTTCGTGTTGGAGTGGTGAAATAGAATGGAATGTGTTTCGTTGTGCAAATTTTTTGTACTCTTTTCTGTTCAATCAGTTTGTACTCTGTTCTGTTATGCTTTTGCATTTTGGTAATTCGACAAAAAATTGGTTTTAGTTTTGACAAAATTGGCCAACTTTCTAAAACAACTGGACACAATTGGCCAAAAATCTTAAACTTGTTGGACAAAATTGGCCAATTTTCTGAAACAACTAGACACAATTGGCCAAAAATGCCCACTTAGTTGTCGATACCAACCTACGTTCGCATCATGGGTTATTTTCACAGATGAATCACAATTATAAACAAACATGTAAAAGAGCATTTCACTGCAAGGCGAAAACAGTTTGATATATTAAATAAGCTTGGCTATCAAGCAAACATGAATACATTATGTAGTTCAATCCATGTAGTGTGACAAAATACCAAGTTTGAACAAAAGCACTGCCTTCAAAGCAACCTTGCAGCCCCAAATACTAAGAAAAGAATACAACCAAATAATTACTTCTGAACAGTCTTTGTGCTGAAATTTCCATCAAAACGTCTACCTTTTCCATCAAAACGCTGAGGTCCTTAGTACAAGTCATAAAGAGCTTTAGAACTTTTCACTTGTGGAACATCACAAAATAAGATCTGAACACTTTCTTGGAGTTTCTCGAATTGTGTTATTGCATTCGCGTGAACTCCTTGTCGTTCTTGCATTCTGGTGGTTTATGAACTGGAAAAGGGGCATTGGGTAGTCCAAAAGCTTCTTGAAAACTCTTTTTAGTTTGCACTTTGTCTGTGGTTGGATATTCATCTATGTTCTCATCAACCAGTTTGAAGGTAGTTTGTGAACTTGATTTTCTCTACGTCGGTCCTTTTCCAGATCTGCGAACCCTTTTCTCAAGTTGGGATGAGCTAGCAGCCTGTCAATATTTAGACTATCTTATTCAAATTGTTCCGCAATCAAGTAATACAAGTGGTATATTTTTCAGGAAACAGAAAAAAAAACTACACAAACCTTGACTTTTCTCTTTTTCATTTTTTGTGTAGGATTTGTATGAACTACATTTCTTCTAGCTGGTTACCCTGGAATTATAATTACAAGGACTTCACCTCTTGTAGCCTTATCAGATCTCTTTGGTGGATTAGATCCCATATGTTTCATTGGTCTGATTGGTTCATCAGTATATTGTAACACCGCAACATCATGATCCAGTTTCTGTTTTCCCACTTGTTACACATGTTTAGTACTGCTGTGATTTCCAAGATTTTCAATAAACTAAATGTTCACTAAATGAAACTTATCCCATTATACCTTTGCTTTTAAGTACTGAAAGTCATGCATTACATTATCAGCTGATTCAGGAGCTGCATGCTTGTTAATTTCCACATGAAAACATCATGATGTTAGTATGATTGTGTAAAGTATAAAGTAACGGATAATTGAATAAGCTTAAAACAAAAAATTACCTCAGCAGTGTCCTGTCACAACTCAACATCAAGATCTGCAATGCTATCTAGATTCGGAGTTTGTGAACTCAAATCAGCATCATACTGCACCTCTGTATTGCACAACCCATCAACAACAGGCACAATATGAGTTACTTTATATTTTTAGAAGTTCTTCTGTCGACGATTTCCAGAAGTTTGACCTGAATCATGAACTTCAGTCGACAAGTTCTCCTGTGGACAATTTTCAGAAGTTTGACCTAAATCATTTCGAGGTGGATCTTTGCATGACCTTACATTGTGACCCTGTCTGTCACACTTGCTGCAGTGATTTCTTTGACCCTTTCTAGATAGTCTGTACTCTTTATTTTCTTGATTGACTACTATTTCAGCAGTGGATCTTCTGCTCTTGGTAGTGGGTCTGCCTTTCACCTTTTGTCTAATAGGAGGTAATATAGGAGACTCTACCACCTTGTCCCATTCCCAATCTGTCTCCCCTCTCAATGGATATATGAAAGGTTCATAACACCTTTTATATGCTTCAACAGAATAGCATTCATCAACATAAACAATAGGGTCTTTCTTTATTGACCATATGGCAAAAATTCCATGCATACATGGAATGCCTGTGAGCTACCACTTTCGACAACTACATTCTCTTGCATTCAGGTCAACTGCAAACTTGCCATCATCAGGATGCTCAACTCCACATGAGAAGTTGAAGAAGGGGTTGGGGAGCATTCAGTGGCTAACTTTTTGTATGCATCCAGCCTCTTGAAAATTCTTGGACAAATCATCTTGTTGTGCCATTTCTCAGCTGCCATTTTCCTGTTTTCCAACATCCTTGTGGTGGTGTACTTCCTCATTCCCTCCATAACTCCAATAATAGGTTGTGCTCTTGCATCAATAATCTTAGCATTCAGAGACTCACAATTGTTATTCAACAGTAAATCACAGTTACATATGACTGGGAAAAATGCCCTGCACCACTGATGACCAGGCATATTTCTTAACCATGTGTATGCATCAACTGAAATTTCAGCCATCAACGCCATTTCTTTCTTGTATGCCCCTCAGTTGTTGCCTTTGCAGCCTTTCAAAGTGCTTTCCTAAGTGCATGCCCCCCGAATCCATGGTCTACGAAATTAGCATGTAAATGCTTCACACAAAATCGATGGTGGGCACGAGGAAATTCTGATTCTGCAGCACTGATTAGGCCTTTTTGCTTGTCACTCATTAATGTCCATTGATCAGTATCTTCTTTCTCGATTCGAAGATCACGTCTCAACAAATCCATACACCATCCCCAAGATGACTTATTCTCAACTTTTACCACTGCCCAAACAACCGGATATATTCCATTGTTGGGATCAACACCAACTGCAGTGAGTAGAACTCCTTTCATATGACCCCTCAAGAAAGTCCCACCCAATCCAATGAACTTCCTACAACCAGCTAAAAGACCATTTCTAACTGCTGCAAAACAAACATACATTCTCTGAAATCTTTGCTGACCTGTTGAGGGGTCTGTCCAGGCATCTTGTGGTTTAAGAACAATAGTACTTCCAGGATTACTTTGCAGGAGTTCATGACAGTAACCCCTTAGCTTCTTAAACTGGTCATCTTGATTCCCCAGTACAGCCTTGATTGCCTTCTTTCTGGCTTTATATGCTTGATCCTTTGTCATGTCGATGTTGTACCGTTCCTTCACAGTTTTCTTGAAATCCCGAGGTTATATAGTGGGTTGTTCCTTAATAAGCTCTGTTGCCCTTAGTGCAATCCAACTGCTTGTCAAACAACGGTTGTACTTCACCCAAGAACAACTGTTTTTCGGAGCAAACCTGGTAACCCTAATAGTCCCATCTGAACATTTTCCAACATTAATCTTCTAATGGCATTTAGGATCGACACATTTAGCACTAACCCTACTTTTCTCAATTTTTAGAAACCTCCACTGAAAGCCCCTTATAATATTCCAAGTCCTAATAACATGTGCTGACTCTTCCAAACTAATGAAGAGAAGTCCACACATCAGAAGAGGGTCCCACATGTCTTTCTCTGGATTAAATTGTTCTAAAGGTTCATCACCTTCTTCATCATATTCATGGAGTGGTTCAAGTCATCATCAGAATCTGGTACGGTTATATTCATATCCCTTAGTCTACCACCAATACATTCATCTTCACTTTCATTGAGATCCCCAACACCTGTATCTGTGAACTCTCCCATTGACCTACAGATTTCAGGAATCTTATTTGAACCCTCTTGCTGATTTCTGCTACTACTTCCTGCAAGTTTCTTCTTGCCAATACCCTGTGCCACAGTTGCAGCAGCTTCAATATTACCATCTTCAACACCGCATGTTACTTTTTTCTCATCTACATTCTCCTCATAATCTTGGTCATCAAATTCTGAATCATATTCAGAATCCTTATCACTCCATTCCTCGTTATCATCATCACTCTCATCATCATCACTTATATCAGCATCATCATCCAAATCTGACCCATCATCGCCCTCAGGACTACCATTGTTTACGTCTTCAGTCTGACTCACATTAGCATCATTGTCGAAGTAGTCACCTTCATTAGCCTTAGCACCAGGTTTCCCTGCAGCTTCACAATCTTTCCCGACAACTTCAACTTCTACGGTATACAACTCCATCCATCTATCCACTGCCATTGCCTCTCCACGCACTGATGTGAAATCCAAATCATCCGATATAAGTTTCACCTCTTCATTTATATAATAGAAATTTACTTTTCCCCCCACCCTACGCTTTTTGCCATTAGACCCAAGTCTTCAACATCCAGGTTTTCCAAATCCACATTATCAAAAAACCTATACTCTCCTACTCAATAAACATGGCATGGCGTATAGATCATTTCACCGATATAATGCATCTGAATGCTTCCCATGGGCGTATTAGAATCTGAAGTAAGGTAAGGGTTAGGTCTCTAAACCCATCAAGCCATCAAAAACCCTTAAAAAACCAGAATTGAATAAAAAAAGTATAGAAACTAGTTTAATCACATTCAAGGGACAGAAAATTGAATAGTTTACCACATGCATAATAGCGAAATTTGGGACCACAATAATCAGATTCGAGGTAAACCCCTAAAGAATACATTAACAAAGAATTACAACAATTAAATTACAACATCTTCCATCAGAATGGAACCCACATGTATCATATTGAAGGGACATTCTTTCTCGATTCCCTTTCCCCAGCAGCAAGCAAACAAATCCCAAATAAAAAAACAACAAATTTATGCAAATCGACACTTAAAAGTTATAATCTTTTCAAAAGATACTCACCATACTTAGGTGGAGGCTCATCGTTCTTCTCTTTTGGCCGTGGATGTAGCATCTGTGCTGCCAGAATGCTTTCTAAACTCCGACAACCTTTTTCTTAATATTTCGTTTTCTTTCTTTTCGCTCTGACTTCGGAAACTTCCCTTTTTGAATTTTGCTCTGAACGGATTTTCCAGCACTTGGGTTTTGTCGTCGATTCATTTCGTTTACTTCCAGTCCAGAATGAAGAATAAAGTGTTGACTTTTTATTATAAAGCAATTTTATTAAAAAAAAATTTTTGGGCCGGTGGGGCCCATAGAATTTTTGGTGGGAAATTTCCCTCCAAATTGGACCCAACATAGTTAGTGATAATCAGGTTTAATTTAGGACTAAATTTGAAAAAAATTGTCCAGGAAAAAGTTTTATTAATAAAATATTGAGGAGTTGACGGCAAGCCCAGAAAACCGTTATGTTGGAAGGAAAATTGGCCAATTGGATGAAATTGGCGAAAAATTGATAGTTTAGGGTAACATAGGCTTCGCAAAAATCAATTGGGTACGATTGACGCCGAGGTGAAAGCTTTGGGTAGGACCGCCATTTTTTTCGCTATTCCCATATATTTGCTCTCTACACGCACTAGCGCTCCTTTTTCACCGCTAAGCACAAAGCCCCATCCTGCATTCCTAGGTTGCCTGAGTGCTAAACCATCCGTATTTAGGATCATCTTTCCTTCCTTTGCTGGCTGCCACCTTAGAGCTATAATAGACTTTTGCGGCATTAGAAAAACATGTACTTTAAACATTGCCTCTAACTCTTGTTTCTCTTCTCCCGAGTTCACTTTCAGCTTATGAACACTCAACAAATTTGAAATATGAGTAACATATGATTTTATTAGAATTTCAGAGGAGAAAGTTATACCTTCATGTATAATTTTACTCCGGCATTTCCATATTTCTCATAGTAGGAAAATCGGTATGACCATGATAATTGTTTTCCTCGCCGTTGTGTAGCTTCCAACAACATGCCAAGCTTGAACATTCCCCCACCATCCTGCATAGTTAGGAGAAAAAATACCTAATTCAGAAGCAAAACGATTCCATATCTGGCTTACCTTTGCACAACCATAGAATATTTTCTTCATTTTCTTGGCAAAAGGGACATCTTGATGGACTTGAGTGGAATCCCAATTTATGGACAATTTCTGGAAAAGGCTACAAAAGGTTAAATAATTTCCACATAAAGAAAGAAATTTTCAAAGGTAAAAATTTATTCCAATAATTTTTCAGGCTAGGGATCTCCTCCCTTTTTGCTCTAATTTCAGAGTAAGTTGTTGAGATTTAGAAACTCCATGTTGAACTCGATTTCCATGCATAGTAGTTTGGCTCCTCATTTAACACCACAGTCATGGATGATAAACTCATGAATGCATGTGGATGCAAAAAGTCCTTCAATTCCTGCAAGAAAAAATCTTTGGAAGCAAAAAATTCCCTAGCCGTTAAATTCGGCCAAGGGGGGTTAGTATTTTCATTACTCAAAAAACCTAAATCCAGCCATTGGCTATTCCAAAAAGAGGAGGACCCATCATTGATGATCATCTTGCAATTTTCTAATGCCTTTTGATCCATCTTATCAACCCGATTCCAACTTCTTTTTTCCTTAGCCGTATCAGACAGAGAGGAAAAAAATCTTGCCCAAACTCCTTGTTTTGTTCTTATTTTTCACCAAAGTTTCATAGAGAACACCTCAATGGTGTCCTCCAATTTTCGAAACCCTAAACCATTCGATTTTTTTCCATGCTCTCCAATGGCGTTTGCTCCCAAACTCAGTATCACCCCATAGACATTGACGTTTTCTTTATAACTCATCCATTACTGACTTTGGAGGTGAGATTGCAACTATTGTTTGGATTGGAATTGCCAAAAGAACATGCTTTATTAAAACTATTCTTCCTCTCACCGAAAGCATTTTATTCTTCCAATTCCCCAATTTCACCTCAAAAGAGTCTAGAAGATGTTGAAAATACTCAGCCTTTTTTCAACCTTTAAAAATGTAACAACCCAAATATTTAAAAGGAAGAGTGCCTTGCGGCATTTGTAAAGTTTCAGCCACGATTTGAATGTGATCCACACTACTCTTGTTCGAGACCAAGAAATTGCTCTTGCCTTTGTTCATTTTTTGCCCCGTTGCCTCCTCATATTCTTTGAAAAAATTGTTCAAGTGCATCATTGAGTTCTTCAAACCCTTAGAGAAGATGATAAGATCATCGGCAAAGCTCAAGTGTGATACAATTAAGGACCCTGCGGGAACTCCATAAGTAGCAATTTTTCCAGCCTCCACTAAACCCTTCATATTCCGTGTTAGGGCTTCCATCACAAGTATAAGGAGATAAGGTGACAACGGATCACCTTGCTTGATCCCCCGAGACAACTGAAAGAAGCCTGCTGGACACCCATTTAAGAGGATTGAGAACTAGCTCCTAGAGAGATTTGACATTATTTGGGAAACAAAATGCGAATGAGAACCAAATTTGAGCATTATTTGTCGTAGAAAACTCCACGATACTCTGTCAAAAGCTTTCATCATATCAATCTTTAGAATCAAGTTCCGCCCGTCGTTTTATGATCTAGGAATTGGAGTAGATCCTTTGTCAATAGAACATTATCCATGACGTCCTGTCCTTCCAAAAATGCGGATTGTTCCTCAGATATCAGTTTTGGAAGGATCACCTTTAACCTTTCTGTGAGCAGTTTAGTGAGCACCTTATTCAAGAAATTACACATACTTATTGTGCGAAAAATCCTCAAAAGATGTGGCCGTACTTTTCTTCGGTCCGCGAAAAATTACCGGTCCTTTTATTAATTTTTACTACCTTTACAAAAAATTGAAGACTAAAATTTCATGTGTCTTTTTCCTACATTGTAGATTGCTGATTGGGCAACTTGGCTGCACCATCACTCTAGTTAGAGATTTGAGAAATCTGAACATCCAAATGGAAGTTTGTTAATCAAAGGAGGGGATACTTTGCTCTTAACAAATGATTTGAGTTCTTGGCATTCTGAGTCAAAAGACAAATGTTTAAAATACAAAAGTATAAGCTTTGAATAGGGGAGAAAGGAGTTCGTTAAAAGTGTGTAAAGCACGATATGCACCCACTAAGCACTCGACATTTTCTTTGTATTGAAGAGTTCCCAATTGTTCATGATAAGTTATTTTTTAGGCTCAAGGCATTTTTGCACAAAAAAAGGGGACTTGTAAAGGGATTAATGATGATAAGCCACATGAAACCCTTCTCATAAATCATCCCTTATAATTCATCAACAACAATATGAGTTCTTGGCATCGAAATAATGTTATTCTCGTATAGGTGTACTATTTTCACATATGTAATATAAGTTATTTAATTATTTTGAAAGAATTTTTGCGTTTCCCTAAACAAAAAAAGCACTTGTTCATCCTCCACACAGCTGTTAGCTCCATCTTGGGAATCCATCCTTTTCTCAATTTCCGAGGAATACTTTAGTTTCTAACTAAAGGCAAAAGGGCTTCGCCTATAAAGAGCGCAAGGCTCTTAATTTATAGGAATCATTTTTCTAGAAAGAATTCTTTTCTTATTAATCAAAATCAGTATTTTCGTTCATTACAATTTACGCATGTTAAAGTCCTTTATTAATTATGTCAATAGTAATCTTTTAAGAACCTTTGGTGATTTTCTTAGCTATTTTTTTCCTTCAATGGGTAACATTATTTTGATCTGACTTAAGAAACCACTTATTTTCCTAAATTATTAACTAATTGTTGATTTGGAAGTGTACATGCATAATCACACAAGAGATTTAAAATTCAAGACTTCCACGTAAAAGAATTATTCATTTTAAGATAGGGAACATTGCTCTTCACTGGGTTTTGGGGCTCGTGTTTGGTGAGAAAAGTTTTAAAAATGAAAATATAAGTTTCGAATGTGGAAGTCATTTGCATATAATCTGCCCAGTAAGCGCTCGGCTTGCCATTTGCACTGAAAGGAGGGCTTTTTCAATGTATAAAAAAATCAACAACTTACTTTTAAAAGGTAACAAGTTATAGTTGGAACGAATTGCTTTTCGTTACATATATAAATAAATTGATTAACTCACTTTAAAAATGCTAATGAGCACATATGCCATGTTGTATTTCTGTTTACTTGATAGTAAAAAAATGTCATTTGTGTTGGTAATAGAAAAACTGAATAGCGTTGAAATGAGAAATAGAATAAAGAAATTTTACACCGCAAAAGGCATAAAACTAAATAACTATCGTTAAAAGGGAACTGCCAAATTCCATCTACGTACAATCAATCAAGATAAAATCTAGAGTTTTGATGTTTTCAGCCAGTCTCGAAGCCCTTTGCGAA